TCTAATAAGAACCAAGCCATTTTATAAAACAAATCAAAACATTTAATAAATCAAATAATAAACTATACAAGCAATGATTGTAAAAGCCTTACTGTCCTTAAATTCTAATGTTATTGTTAATTGTCTACTTGGACTTTACTTATTAATAGGACTTAATACTGGTGTTTAAAGATTGGCACAGCAATGAGAGTTAGTTCAGGAAAGAACAAAATTTCTTTATTATATCTATTACTACAGGTGATATAATAAAGAAATTTTATTCTTTCCTGAACTAACTCTCATTGCTGTACCAATCTTTAAACACCAGTATTAAGTCCTATTAATAAGTGAAGTCCAAGTAGACAATTAACAATAACATGAACATAATGATGTTACTACATCATATTGTAAGAAATAATATTGGAAAAGGATCTGTATTTCTTAAATGAAGACATTTGTTTTGAAATGAACAAATTTGATTTCGCTTACTTGTAATATGATTATATTAGATATTTTTAAATGATTTATAATCATATCAGAAGATAGAGAAACATTGAAAACAGTTATACAAAGAGAGAATAGATATTAATCAGCTTTGCTCATTAGCATATACTCTTTATATATAGTTTAATGCAACTTATAATAATTCTTATGCAGATATGTGAAAGAGATGTCACAAATATTTGGTGAAGTTTAAATGCAAACTTCTCAAAACATGGAATAATATTTTTCTAAATAATATATATTAATATTTTAGTTAATCTTTTTGTATAGCCTTAATTTAAGTTTAAGTTAAACCATGAGATTTAATGTGAAAAAGTTACAAATGCTAATTTCAGATATGTTCTGATTATAATTCATGAATCACTTTAATCCTTTCATTGTCAGAAAAACAAACTTGCATCTTCTTGCTCTTCATGTTTGAAATAGTGACATCAATCTTTTGCTACATCTTGTTGGGTCCATTGTAAGAAAAAGAACTACTTTGAATGGCTGTTGTTACAACCTTATTCTGTAACATAAGCTTACAACAGCAGACTGCATATACTTATAATGTTGTGAATGTTTGCAAGGTTATAATGCATTTTATAATGGAAAATATCATTGTGCAAACTCACTATTAAGTAGAAGAATGTTCATGGCTTTATAAAAGTGAATAAATGGTCACCCCTTTTTTAAACAGATTATGCTTTCAAATTTAAATTTTAAATGCTATTAAAGTTGTTATAAGTTTTTATAACGATCAGATAATATTCCAGGCAGTTAGTTATTTATATTTTAATTATATTGTTATACACAATAGCATTATTCTATTGCGTATAAGTAATATTGCTAATACAGGAATATACTAATTTTATTAATTAGATTAATTTTTAATGGCTAATAATTAAAACTTTTTTCTAGATTTTGTTTGCATTATTTTGATGGTCAACCATCTCTTTTGGAAAGATATGAACAAAATGAAGAATTTGCTTGTAAAAAAAAGAAAATGGTATTTATAATACTTTTTAAATTATTTTAATAAGAAATTTATAATTTAAATGTTTATAATTAAGACATATTTTTTCAGGATGGTGAAATTTATGATGATATCCTACAAAAACTGCTTGAAGCAACTTTTTGCCTTCTTATTCATAATTTTAACTTTTTTCGTAAAATCTGGAATTTAAGTATTCTTGTAGATATGATTAAGGACAAGAATTTAGATATTAAATGGTAAGAATAATATTTAAACGTTACAAAAAATAATTTGCAGATTATTTTTAAGGCTAAAATTAGTGTATAATATTAAAATAAAAAAATTAATTAAATAAGTGATTATTAAAATGATTGACAAAAATTATTTAAGTAAAATTTATGAAGTCTGTATATTATGAATAAAATTTTAAAAGTATATTTATATGTTGAATTGAAATAATCCACTAATTAGTTGAGTGAAACAAATATATTTATGATGATTGTTGACATGCTAATGTTAATAACTAAGGTATAAACAACATTGCTGATATTCTGAATAATTTGTTTATCAAACTTTTAAGTTTACTTATTGCAGGTTTTCTTTTCCATTCTGTCATGAAATCTTTATTATTTTCAATCAAGTTCTAACGATTAAATTACAGGCAAAACTAATCTGTAATGGAAATTAAGACATTATTAACAATTATCAATAAAAAAAAAACAGAAAATTATTTATGCAGACACTTTTAAACTTTTATTTTGTTATCATAAACTTAATCATGAAAAATGTTTATTAAATTTTAGAATGATTGAATTATATATGGATGTGAAGAAATTGAGACAAACCTAAAGAAAATTGATACAAGTTATGCAAAATATATATATTAGGAAATTCATTAAATCATTTTTACTAAAGATTAATGAATTGAAGATGAATATGGAATAATCACAACAGTTGAAGTCAAATTTAAAATGAAAAGATTATATTGAATATTTATATGGACAAGATAGAGATATCATATTACTTTGAATGACAAAATTGTAATGGCTATAAGAGGAAACTGTTTTATCTAAGGAAGGGAAATAAGGTTGTTTTAAAACTCAATTTAGTTGAAAAATTCTTCTGGGATAAATAGTATATTTATTAAAAAAAATATGGGAAAATTGATTGAAATTTCAATGTGAAGAAAGAATAAAATTAAAAGAGAGGTTACTTCAGATTTATTAGTATGAAAGTTTTTCAAGCAAATAGGTTGAAAATTTTGCTACATAGAATGAAGACGAAAATTATATTATTTTCTGACAAAATGTTTAGCTTCTAAAGAAATAAAACGTTTATAAACATTTCTTCACAATTCAACTTATAAAATCAAAACTAACTGTAATATAATAAAATACTAAATATAGCCAAAAACATTAGTCTTTATAAACAGTGAATGTTGGAAATTGAGGNCAAATTTTCCATCAAATTTCTTTATTAGTTGATACGGTACATTTTTTACTAGTTTCGGGCTTTGCCCCTCTTCAGTCAACTAAAATACAATATATATATTTAACTTATAACAGTAGAGAGTTTACATAAAATAATGAGTACATAAACGATATATAGACGTACCTTTTGGTTACACTTTATATAATTTAAAAACGTAAAATCTGAAAAAAAAAAAAATTATTTTTATTATTTATTTATTTTAGATACGATAGAAAAAGTCTGATTAAGTAAGACTAAAGATTTCTACCACCTGCACAATATACAAATATATAAATATAAATGATAAAAAGATAAAGTCATATTGTATCTAAAATAAATAAATAAATAAATTATATATGATATAATTTAAAGCAAAATTTAAACCTTGTTTTGATGATAAATTAGTCTTTTACAGAAATAAATCATTATTAGAATGATAGGAAATATTTCTATTTACATTTATCAAATTTTGATAATTTAATTTTATTATTTTTTTACTACAATATGGACCATTATGAATATTAGCTAAAGCATAAATTTATAAAAATGTAGTGATTCAAATGAAACACAAAATAATATGTAAATCATTCAATGCTGAAAAGCTAAAGTAATCTTTTCCTAATGTTAATGGTAAATGAAGTGTTTGAATTCAATAATACAACAAATGTTTTTTTATATTCTATACATTATATATTCAGATGCTTAGTGTGTGGGAGTTGATAGTATAGTTCAGTGGTTAGCAACCTACATACAATGGCATGTCACATAATTATATATATATTTTTCAAGTATTGGGCACTCTGCATGCCACTGAAATCAAACAAGTGAATCTATTTTTAGTACTTGATTGCTTGTTGTTCTTTCAATTGATTGTATGTTTCTTGAAACCAAGCATAAAATTGATATTGAGAACTTATCACACAGAAACACTCCTCTTCATGGAAAAAGTAGATTTATATTTTCTGTTTTTTACAAAGGATATGCATTTTGGGTCATATGCTCCTCTTCAGTCCTTATACTGGAATAACTAATTGTTAAAAACATGGAGTAAAACAAAGATGTTTTAACCACTTATAATTGGTTTTAAAGTTTTTATGTTTTTACTCCTTTTAATGGTCAATTTTTTTATATTTTAACAAAAATTTTTATTTTTATTTCACAGTTGTACTTGTTTTACTCCATGTTTTTAACAATTAGTTTTTCCAGTATTCACCATTAGTTATATTTTTAATTATACCATTATATATGATAAGGACTGTAGAGGAGCATATGACCCAAAAATGCTTGGTTCCAAGGAACATACAAGTGAAACTATGTTATGAAAAATTATTTGACTATAATAATACACACTACAATATAAACATCATTAAAAATTACAATATTTAAACATTATTGTTGCAGTTCAAATTTTGAAGCTGACAGTTAAAAATTTCAAACTATGAACAAAATATTGAATTTATGCACATTTCGAAATTTTATTTAGTTAAATGATTTCTATACAGATTTATAATGTATTTCATCTTTTTTAATGTTATCTCACATTAGTAAGTTGTACTAAAAGCAGTTAAAAGAGCAAAGAAGACTTTCTTCATACATGAAAATTTGTCTGAAAGTTAATTCCACCTTTCAGTTATTATAAAAAGATTTTAATTTATATCTTATAAATTATATTATTATTAAAAATATTTTTAATAAATAATTTATTAAAATACTGAAAAAGTTTCATTAATTAATTATTATTCTCTAG